AGACAGGTGGAGAGTGTAAGTCACCAGGGAATCTTCCTGGGAAATACAATTACCCTTGCATGAGAAACAAGAGAGCAGGGCTGACATGTAAAATATGTTAGTCACCATCCTGCTTCCACAGATCTCTATTATTTTAGTTTTTAAGGATTTGGATAAACCTCAAAGACACTAAGCAAACTGAGAACAGTTCTTAGAGTAAACACTGAGCTCAGAGATTAGAAAACTCAGTCTTGACAGTTGCTGTGCTTCTCACACTCTCCAAGATGCCATGTTATCTGTTCTCCCTCCCACCCCCCAGGCTTTAAACCTGCTTCAGCACTGTTATAATGGGTTGCATTATATCAGAACAAGGAGTACATGAAGATTTCAGTCTTTTGGCTTTTTTTTTTTTTCTTATCTTTCGTTAATAAGCATCTCCTCATTGCTTGGAAATGTCATTCTAGCCAAAGATCTTCTATAATTAAAGAGCAAAACTGTCCAACTAATTAGAAGTTTTCTCTTGCCCTGAGCATAGCTCTGGGCATAGAAACAGGGAGTTTAAGGCAAACTGCACAGCAGTAGGAATAATTGAATTATTTAAAATGAATATCTACTTTCTAAACGTGTTCAGTGGGAAAAAAATAAGCAGCAAGGTCAGGAACAATGGAAAAACGATAGGGGATATTCCTTGGGAAAGTAATCAAAGCAAAAGTTACAAAAATCCTCTCTTAAATTGCATTGAAACAGCAGGATTTTGTGAAAGCCACTGACTGTCAGGCCCCTAGGGCTTCTGGCCTTGATTATGCAATTGCTGCACAGGCAGGACTGGCTGCCAGCAGTAGCTTTCCCATGAATTTCTTAAAGAAAATATTACAATAAGATGTACGTTTAGGTGCTTTTCATTCAGAAGATATTGCCTGTGATAGAAATCCTTGGGTTTGTTCTCACTTTCTGATGATGAAGGGAGAGAAAATACTTGTCTAATTAGGTACATCTCATCCGAGATTCCCTGTTGCAAATCTCCCATCTCTGATAATGAGGTGTTCCTGCTCCCTCTGCAGGGGCTAAGCAGGCTGCAGTCAAAAAAACAGCCAGCTTTTGCATGCCTAAGAACCAGGTGAAGGCATAAGCCTGACCATAATTGTCCTCTCATTAGTGCAGTGTTGAAAAATTGCTCAGAGGGAGCAAATATTATTTGGGCTCTTTTATAACTGCTTTTCTCACTGTTTTTTTGCAGTGTGATAATGGCAAAAACACAAGGCAGTTTGCTTTGTGCTTGTGATGATTGCTTTTTCTGTTTTTCCAGGCTGTGCTTCAGGGTACAGGATGGTATGGCATCTTAGGGACCAGTAACTCACCCTCTTTCACTGGTGGAACATCAGTGCTATCAGTACTGCCTGGTAGAAAGGAGACAGTTAAGCGTGACAGAACAAAAAAGAAGCAATATATAACCACACCTTTGCTTGCAAAAGTTCCTTATAGCAAACTTTGAAAAAAGCTCTGCTTAGTGTGCAAAGTCCTGGACTTTACCCATGCATTTCAATAGGCTTTCATTCCTTTAATGAAGCTGCACTTCACTTATTTACCTTAAAATACTTATGTGGCTGTCACCCAAGTGTCTGAAATAGAGAAAACAACTACACCCCTTTCTTCTTCCTTAGATACAGGAGAAATGGCTTGATTAATTTATCATAGGTTTTTGTTTGTTTTATGTTTGTATGGATGACTGGGCGCAATGTGCTGGAGACTGGATGAGAATAAATTATCAAAGGAGAGCTGTAGCAGAGCTGAATAAAGGGAGATCTGTGAATGTTCATTTCACCTGAGGGTGCTTTCCATAACCTGAAGCCCTTCTCCTAGCAAGCTCCATTACTGATATGATGTATTACTGTGTTTGCTAAAAATTTTGAATTTTCAGGCTGTCTAGCTTCATGTCTATATTTTGTCTTCTACCATCACTTTTGGCACCCATCCATATATTTTATTGGTTTATACTCTTCCTCAGTGATCACTACAATATTTTGTCACTTGGATTCTTTGAGCAACCAAACATGTACATACATTAAGATTTTGCATGAAAAAAAAAAGACAATTAAATTCTTATTTTCTACAAAGTAAATATAGTATTCTTAGAATAGAAACAAAAAGGTGTTCTTTTTTGTAAATCCTTAGCTGTGACAACTGGAAGAGGAAACTTGTTTCTTACTCACACCTGTGGGAAAGGAAGAGGAAGAAAAGATGCCCACCTCCTAAGGAAACTTTTAGCTGGTGAACAGAGATTTGAAACTGGTCTTTACATGATGCTCTACAATTATTTGGGCACAGGGTGGTGGAATTTTGTCAATCAAATCAGTGAAAACTTCACCCTTGGCTTTGAAGAAAGTCTCTTTACCCAAAGCTAATAAATCCCTTTCCAGTGGCAAACAGTCTGTAACGATGCCTCTAGGCTGAAGAGAAGTGTAAATTGGCCAGAGAGGCCTTTTCTTATTGCACTGGAGTGCAGTGATGCGAAGGAGGGGGGAAGCACCAGGACAAACCACACAGCTTCAAGGGGCCTTTAACCGCACAGAGAAAATGCTGCAAAGGCTTGTTCTTGGCTCCCCTGATGCCTCTTCGGAGTATTGCACACATGCACAGTTACCAGCCAACTGTGGCCAAGCAGTATGAGAGACAAACAGCCTAACCTGGCACCAGGTAGAGCCTGGAACCAACTCTGTTAAAAAATGTTGAAATGCAACGCCTTTGTCTCTTAGGGTTTTATAACACTTTAGTGTCCCAAACTGCATTCACCTAAAAGTCCGTACACACATTTCACTGGTGCAAGATTTTTAATTTTTTCAATATTCTTCTAAAATCTGAGGCAGAGAGAGGAACTGGTAACTGCACAGTGAGCTCTCTTGCCTGCTTGCTAAGATAGCAAAGATGACTGATTAGTATGAAATGAAATTGTGCAACCATATTAAAACCTAGAGATTTTGTAGAGTGAGTCATCTTTATATTACCATTTAATTAGCTTGTCATTTCCTTTAGTTCTTTCCTGCACCATCAATGGATTCGTGTTTGCCTTTACTGATTATTTTGTTTTCAACTGTTCTTGCCCCTGCTCCAATAGAATATGACGTATAAAGAAACATTATAAAATTCAATAATTTACAAGACTAATTAAAAAGGCAACCAATGAGTTAATTTGGAAGGAGGCAGTAGAAAACAGTAAGAATTTAAAACAGGAAGGAATGATAAATTAAAACCAGACTTTATAGATACATTTAAGTATATAAGAAATGGATACTTGTTTTTAGACAAACCATCAGACTATGGCCAAAAAAAAAAAAAAAAAGCTAATAATTTTACATGAACAACTGGAGATACCAGATATAGACAGAAGTTTTCAAGGACAAGTGGGTAGGACCTTCTGAAAGGCTAAAATTTCATCTCTAGATATTTAAACATAAATAATTCTGAAAATTGCAGACCATATTTGTACATTATGGTATTATTATTATTTTTGTTTATGGCCTATAAGTGCATTGGGAAAAACTATTTTGGGACACATAAGACTCCGTTTTCCACAGTCAGCCTTTCAGAGCCCAGAGACATAGCCCAGAATTCAGGACGCTCATTTAAACAGCTGTTAATCTGTCTCAAAGAACTGGAGATCTGCATTAACCATGCATTTGAACCCCTTTTGGAGAATCTAGGCACTTTATTTCTGATATATTTATTCTTCCCCTTGAGGAGACAAAAGAGATCTATAGATCTTTTGGGGAAATGGCTGGCTTTATAAATTATTGAGGCATAAATGCAATAATTAGCTGGCTTTTGTCAGCACCATATTCCATATATAGCAGAGCTCCTAATCTCTTACTATTTTTCAGGGCTTTTGTCTCCTTAGTAGATTATATATAACTCTATGACTGGTTTTGATCACTTTGTAATGAATATTGTATCATAGTGCGCTAAGTAGACTAGTATCAACATGTTACTAAGTTCTTTAGGATTAAAATGCATGTGAGTAGTTTTAAAAAGTATTTGCATCCACTGGAAAAATCCAGTGTTTTCCAAACAATTAGATTCTGCAGATTAGTACAGGTTTTGGTTGTACACAATATGATTTTGATGTTACTAGGTATACTAAGTCCACATGATGCTGTTTCAGTTCTAAATTGGCTTACAAATACAATTTATCATTGTCTCCACCCTGAAGTGTATACATCCATCGTGTGCTTCAGGGGATGGTATAATTATTTTAATCCTGCTTTACAGATTAAAAAACTCAACAGTGAGAGCTGAACAGGTTTATTAGACCTCACAGTACAGGCCAAGCTAAGCAAGAAATGTAGTTGTAGGATACACTGATGTCCTAACTATTAGAAGCATGTGGCTTTCCTAGAAAAGTTGGATAAAGACAGATCTACACTGTACTTTGTTATCCAGACTCAGATTTTGAGAACTTTTAGCTAAACAATTCATGCAATTTATTTCAACATGTTAATAGGTGCAAGTGTCTCATATGTAACTCACTACATCCACCCTCCTGGATTTTCTCCATTGCTCTTTGTGCTTATACAGTGTTAGTTTGGGTTGGCTTATAAAAGCTCCTAGGGCACATACATTTTCTCTTCTGTGGCAGATGGTGACTGGTCAACTGAATATTGGTGCTGAATTGAGCCTGCTAACTTCTCTATCTAGTTTGGATGTTCTTCTAGAGTTGAGCAGGCATCAAATCCCAAATGACAGAGCCATTTGTCACCACAATCCAAACCATTCTTTCAACACAGAAGGCCTGTGCAATGAATCAAAATGCTGCACTCAGACTCTTGAAAGTATTTCACACACAGAGCATCGCTCTGCTTAACACATTTCAAACTACAGTAACTGCTAATAAGATAAAAAGCAGTGACAAATCAGAGAATATCGCTTCCAACAATCATGCATGACTTACCATGGCAAACACATCCTCACTGAGTAAGGAGAGTGCTCAGCGTCCGTTTCAGGTCTCCTGCTGCAGCCTTTTATGCTTTTTATTTTTATCCCATTTGTCAAAATAACAGCCTTTTTTATCAGTGCTGATTGCAGAGATTTTGACTCCTCACCTGCTGGGTTCCCCCTCTGCTCCATAGGGGTTTCCTAATTGAATATTTCCCCTGTGAATAGAAAAGCTTTGAATAAGAACAGGAAAAAAATTATTAACCGTTTCAAAACCTCCCATGAATCTTATACCCCAGTCCTGCATACAAGCTCCTTTTCCTTTCTAAAGTGCAGAATATTCTTCTTTCAGCAAGCATACTCAGCTTTTTCTGAAGGCAATCACACTTATTATACGCTGAACATTGTAAATGAACTGACGTTAAGAGCCTAACATGAGGAAGAGGAGAAGGAGAGATAGATATTAATTAAAAGTAACTTATAAGGTGTCTGGTTTGCTTAGAGTCATTGGAGCCTCATTTCTCACATTTGCGAGTCAAAAGCAAGGAATCATTTACTGTTTGTGCTGAGACCTGGCATTAACAATTTCTGCCCATGTCATGGTGGATGGTGTAGGACTGAAGTATGAATAGTGAATTCTCGTGTCTGCCACTATTATTCCTACAAAAGAGCCGGCAGCCTACATGCTGTCATTCACTTGAGGACGGACTAAAACCCTGTATTTCAGCTTCTGACGTGTGTGGAAGGTGGTGCTCTGGATTGAGCCAGAAGGAGGACTTTATCTGCCAGCTTCTTACCCTGACCATGGTGGCTACTGCAGATGCTCATGTTTCATCATGTCTCATCAGAAGCTGCTACTCAGGTGCTTTTGCTGCATCCCTCAGCAGAGGAGGCACAAAAGAACCACAGAGTGGAACCTGTCTGTGAAAAAACAAACAAACAAACAAACAAGCAAAGAGTCAATGAGGCTGTTGTGCACCCTTGGCTTCTTCAAAGCAAAGCAGACTTTCTTAGAAAAGGGAGGCTCTGTTGCATTGTTGCCTGGGATTTCTCAACTGTTTCCCAAGTTTTAGAAAGATCCCTACTTCTCTGCACACAAACAAACAAATACATTAAATAAATTAATGGATCAGCAAATAAATAAATAAATCGTTAAATGGATGGTGAGAATGTCTGCAAAGGAGGGAATCAGAAAGCACAGATAAGCATGGGAAGGACTTAAAAAAGCCGAAGGGAAGTTCTCTCTACATCCCTGCTTCTTCATCCTCTAAACCCTCACGGATTTATTTTTTTGTCGTTTTAAAAGGGGGCTTTGCTGCACAGATGCTTTTGGAAATAGTCTTACAAAGAAATTCCTTGTAATCTTTTGATTGCATAAGCTCACAATAATGAGAAAAGCTGAGCTTTTCCCACTCTCCAATTTAGGCCAGTTATATCATATCAAGGGAGGGCAATCTGCATATTTTGATCCTGCTTTCCCAGCTTCAGGTTTATACATCTTTTAGTGTCTTTTCCCATACCATTTCCCCACTTTATGAAGCAGGTTGATGAATTCATTTATCTATTATCTAGCTGCATGTGCTGCCAGAAGATTGCAGCTGGAAGGTATCTCTCCTTGCGAGAGTGAGCAAAAGGGCATCCCTCAGTACCTGTCTTCAAATATCATCTGTTCTCCTACCAAATGATGTACTGTTGAATTTCAGCTTTGAAGCAAAACTATCTTGAGAGGAATGCCTGTTAGGGATATTTAACTGGACTCTGGTACTACCTGTAGATTGTTAACAAGAGGTTAATTGCATTCTAATTCTTTGAATAAGCCAGGTGAAAAAGATTTCAACAAGTTTCCCTGTGTATGTACATCGGTCTGAAAAGCCAGCACTGGTGCAAGAGAAAGGGAAGATCCAGAGACCTGAGTCTGCTGCAGATCAGGTGCAGACTTTTACAGACAGGTAGACAACACAGGATTCTGGTTGCAGATTCAGCCATTGCTGAGAAGGAGGGTGGGCTGGGTGAGATGACCAACGCTGGGGGGTCCTGTGGCAGCAGGCTGAAATTGCTCTGGACAGTCCAGTTTGGGGCAACTCCTGAGCAGCTGAGTCTGCTGCCTCTCTGGTCAACATGAGGGTAGGAGACAGATTTTGATTGCTGCTGGGTAGCACTGGAGAGAGGATGCTCTCTTATTTCCTGGCTCTGCTCCTTCCCCTTAACAGAGCAAAGCAGCAGTGGCTCTGGCTTTATAGGGAGCATGAGCAATGAGGAGAACAAGGTCCTGTACATTTAGCTGCTCCTGAGAGCTTGCTGTCAGTTCTGATTATGGCTGGAAACAGCCCTGGTTGCAGGCAAGAAAAAGTAAATCAGTCTTTTGTAAATGAAGCAGTTTGATACAGCTAGGTCAGAGACTAAACACAGAACCAGAGCTTAGAATTCCCACACGTGCTCTTTAGAGTAGTGTACCTCTTTTTGTGAGGCCCCAACAGGTATGTGGAAGAGTATAACAAATATGCTTTGCATTGTGTAATCAAGTATGTTGAATAGCAGAGGAAAGGTTAAAGGCCATCACAAAAGGATATGTAGTGCTACTTTGCTGCAGCTCTTCTGGCTGCTCACAAGTTATCCAGTAAGTGCAGCACAAGGGAGAAAGCTATTAATAATCCTGCTCATCATGGTTGCACAGTGAAACATCATAATCCTAGCACAAAGGAATATGTGAGCCATGAAGTGTAAAGCAAAAAATTTAGGCACTGAAGACAGCCTCAAAACTATGTAAAAATTAACAAATGAGAGAAATAATATGTTTAATGGAGGCTACTCATGAAGCTACAGAAGAAGACCTCTGCAATAAATAAAATCTAAATGAAGCCTTGTGCCTGAGCCAGAGAGCAGAGTGCTCCAGCTCACCGTCATAAACTCTATAAATATTTTTGTGAACAGATCAGATAAAGTGTTTGGCATACAGGTGCCTAATAAATGCTACCAGTGCTGGAACATGCTAATCTCAATTTTGTACACATCCATGTGTTAGAGTTCATGTGTGCTTCTACAGCTATGGACTACTTCTACAAGTCATGGTTTTAGATTGTGACCCTGAATTTCTATCAAAAACATTGAGAGAAAATGCATATACATTCAGTTTGTCAGTGTACTCTGATAGCACTTTCCAAAGAAGTCTGTGATAAGATAGTATGGTTTGGTTATATGTACATGCCACTTACATAAATACACATCTAATTTTAGTGCATAAAGCGTATTCACATTTTCCTGAAATTACCAATGCTATGATCTTGACTGACAAGCAACAAGAAGAAAATCCTATCAGCACATTCCCACAGAAAAAAAACAGTACATTTTGGAATAACAGTAGCTACTGAAGGCCTTGAAGATAATGTATGTAAAACTTAATAACTGAGTAAATATCATAATATTTGTATGCGAGTATTATGCAGTATATTTAAGGAAAATCTCCTCTGTTAAATGCTCATACCTTGATTAAATCCTGTAAAAAATGCTAAGTGTATTTCCAGGCATATTTCCATCACCAATTTACAACATTTGGATCACTTGTATTCAGAAGGTATGCAAATGGCTTTAGCTGGGTCATATTTTAGCTGGTATTTCTAACAAATATAATACCATGGGAAATTTCTCTTGTCAGAGCACATTTATTTTATTATTTAGATGATTATGGCTGTATTTTTTCTTCAGCTAGTCTTCCCTGTTGATATGCTGAATTCTCAGATTTTTGACAAATGCTTACATTGCAATTACTTTAGATATAATATAGTGTCTTTTATTCCCAGTTTTCATGGATCTTTAAAATTATTAAGTTTCTATCAAAACTGCCAAAGGGAACAAACCGGTTATGGCCCTTCTCCATAGGTGGAACTAGCACTGATGTTGGGACAAAGTATTGTCATAAATGTCAAAAACATGCACAATAAAATATGCAAATGTTCACACCCAGAGTTTAGAAAAGACAGAGATGTGACTACTTATTGCAATATTTCCATTGCATTAAGAATAGCAATCCCAATTTACAGAAAATATTACTGTTATAGAATTTGCTTTAGTTCAAGGTGTAAACAAACAAAAAAAGAGCAATTATTACTTAAAAAATGGGGAATTGGATGTGAGCTTTCACCCTCTCAGATGCCTTATTACTCAAGCCCTAGTGCCGTTTCTATTACTACTTTAACACGAACAGTCACTGGGAAAATAAAATAAGAAGGTATTTGAAATCATGTCCCCCACAGCCTAGTTGACTGGCTTTTCAGCTGCTGTGCTAATGACTCATTTCTAACGGCTCGCATTTGTTTCACGTTCTCTCAGCTTTCTATTAAGGCTTTATCAGAATTGTTCCTTTTATTTTTTTATTTATTTTTATAATTCACTCTCTCTCCAAATGCATAAACATTAGAGTTTGAAAAATAGCCTGACTAAGAAGGAAATATATCTGTAGTGTAAAATGCAAACAGTCTTGGCTAAAGCTTATCAGAGGAGAAAGCACAGGTTTATGAAAGAATAAAAATTAAGATATACCAGAAGTGGGGTCTTTCTCAGTCACCATGCTTCTACAGAAATATGTCACTTCTAGAGGAGCAATGAACAGGAAAAAGCAACATAACATAAGTAATTAATACCAAATTCACCTAAATCTTGTGTCAGTAACTTCATTAATAATATGACTAATGTACTGTAACTTTTGTCCTGTTTGTAAAAATGACCAGCAAATAATTAATCAATCCTTCCAATAGGATTAATAAGCGAATAATAGGCAGGATTAGCCAAAATCTAGGCAGCCTAACTCGAAGTGGGGTCCTATCAGTACAGCTATAGTAGATGTCAGTATGGCAAATGCCCTACTTGTGCACCAACCAACCTCTTCTCTAATACAGCCCTTGACCTTAAAGCCTGATTGGGGTGGATTTGGTCTATCTGTCAAATGTAGTATAGGCATATAATTAAACGTTGTCATTTTATGGCTATTTTATCAATTTGCTACAGGTAGCATGAAAATACTGGAAAAAGCAAAGTCTGCAATGATATTAGAGCCAAATAAAAGTTTCAGAAATGAATCCTGAGTGTCTGAATTTCTATTTCCATCTAACCATGATTGCAAAGTATAAATGCTATACCAGTGGTACTACAAGAAGGCTACATTTCTAGGCAACCCAGCCTCTGGCCCCTGCTAGTCATATAACATTTCAACAGGCAAAAAGAATACTTTCGAATGTGCCATGGTTTTTGTCTATGTTAATAATACTGCAGGACTTTAGCTTCTTAAAAACCTAGTGCCATGTGATTGAGAAGGAGCTCAGTGGAGGACAAATGAGGATGAGACTGCATAGGGCAGCAGCTTTGCAGGTGCAGAATGATGCTTGTGTCTGTCAGCACCTGGCTTTGTCTGGCTGCCACCTTCCCTGAGTGCCATGGCACTGCCTCATGGGCATGGACTGCACAGGATAAACAGCAGGACAAGTGTTGGCATTGTTTGGAAGGGAGCAGGGCACCTGGCAAATCCACCCCATTTTCTTTCAATGGCATAGCATGTTTTCCAGAAGAAAGCATTCTTCAGAGGAGCACAAAAGCAGCAAATATTCACCTATTAGCAAAAAGAAAAAACAAACAGACAGGTTTTCATTAATTCTTTCAGTAGTATTAATGTAGTAATGTAGCAATGTATTAATCCCTGTAGCTTAGGTTGATATCAGTCCTTCCTAGATAATATATACTATCTTTTCTTATATATAAAAAAAGTATTGAAGTATTGAAATGAAATAAAGTGATGTGCTATTGAGCTTGAGCCAATCCCTTGAAGCAGGGCTTTTTGCTATGCAATGCTAGTCAACAAGGGAAGAACAGCCACAGAGCTGTTTTAATTACTTGAACTATTCACCTAAAATGACAGATAAACTGACTC